AATATATAACATAATTATTATTATAATAAGCGGTTTAAAATAACAGATTATATAATGTTTTAGACATGCTTCTCCTTAACTATTTCTATAATGTTTCCTTAAGGTTACCTTTCTTATTTATAGATTTCTTGTCTGCCTAATTCTTTCTTTAAGGCTTATAACTTTCTTTTTCCGGAATTCCTTTTATAGCGCTTAACTCTTAATTCTTTTTATACTCTTTAGCATAATAGCTAGGCTTTCTGTATATTAGGCATAATCCTTTTTTATATTACTCTGTCTATTATTTTCTAGAAACTTTTTACTTGCTCTTTTTATTCTAACATTTCTTAAGTAGTCCTAGTCTTTTCCCTTTCTTAATTACGTCTAGATTTATTAGTATACTTTGTCTTGCAAGATAATACCCTAGGGTTTTATGTTTTAGACGTTATATAGGAATTCCTTTTATAGCGCTTAACTCTTAATTCTTTTTATACTCTTTAGCATAATAGCTAGGCTTTCTGTATATTAGGCATAATCCTTTTTTATATTACTCTGTCTATTATTTTCTAGAAACTTTTTACTTGCTCTTTTTATTCTCTTTCTTAGTTATATTCAGGTTTATTAGCATACTTCGTCTTGCAGGGTAATGCCCTAGGGTTCTATGTTTTAAATGTTATATATTAGCTTAGTATTATACTAGAAATGTAATATAGTTTTTCTTCTAGCCTTTTTTGAGTTGTCTTTTATAATTCTAGTTATTTATTTTGATTACTATTTTAATTAAAGATAATAATTTGCTTAGTTAATTAATCTTAGATAGATTATCTTTTACTAAATTCTTTAGTCTTTTGTAAAAGATGGCTGCTAATGTAGCATCCTTTTAATTAACTTATAAAGTGATCTAGTAAAACTTGGAAGCGTAGTCTGTAGGCGTAGGTCGCGGGAGGATTCGTAACAGGTGTATAGATAACAGTAAACTAATTCCTCCGTCCTTTAGTCAAAATGGACATTCCCTTTACTTAAGAGAAAGCCCTTCCGATCCCTATAACACTAATGCGGTCATAACGGGATGTAGCCTCCACGCTTCGTAGCCCTTGCAGTAGTAGCGCAGGGCTACGGGATGTGGCCTTTGTGTTCGTAACGCTTGTGTTGGAGTTCGCATCGCACCCGCGGGACGTGACCTTCGGTAGAGCTGCCTTATACAGCTGCTACAGGATGTGGCTTGGCATATCATGACAATATTCGAATTCTGATATTCATAATAAGTAGATTCGTTATTTTGATAAATCCACAAAAGCTGTTACAAAAAAGGCATATCAATTGCTAATCATGGACGGATTTAATACCCATTTTAAATTCGAATTCATATAATTTTGCTAGAATAATGCTATTATTTCCTTCTGCCTTCCTCCTTATTTTACGCATCTTTTACAGCTACTTGATGTAGTATGCTTTTAATTACTCAAGCACTATTATACAAAGGCTATTGACTGTCACGTGTCACGTTGGAAGCAGGCGACGAGTGCGCGAGATCTTCAGCCCATGTTGAGTGCTATCCTAAGACTGCAGAGCCGACGAGGATGGCACTGGGGTCGCTCCTATATAGCGAGCATGCCCCTTACTAACGCGTAGTGCCAATCAATACCCGGCGGCCCCAGCGCTAGCGGCCGACAAGCATGGCAGCCGTGACATTGACCGTGCTATACAGCTTGGCAATTGCTCATTTTCGCAAGTAGCCTTTTTAGCTAATATCCATAAAATTCGTACGCAAACTTTTAAGAATTCTACAATTCTAAGTGCTTTTCAAGAAACTAGTCTTGTGCCTTATAACCCAAATATAGTAATTGCCAAATTGTCTTTTCTGCTAGTTCTTAATTCTGAAAATGACTCTGAATCAGAGTCATTAGATATAATAAAAATGCTAAAAAAGTGAGATAGTGATCCAACTTCACAAAAGAGTTACGCCCAAGTAACCAAAGTTACTTGAATGCAGTTGGAATAGTATATTAATCCTTATCCAGATGCCCTAGAGAGAGTC